TCTTGTGGAGCAGAGGGGTTTTCATTCCAATCCCAAAGAAAGGCAATGCCAAAGAATGTTCAAACTACTGTACAATTGCACTCATTTCACGTGCTAGCAAGGTAATGTTCAAAATCCTTCAAGCTAGTCTTCAGAAGTATATGATCTGAGATCTTTCAGTTGTATAAGCTGGATTCAGAAAAGGCAGAGGAACCAGAGATCAAATTGCAAACATCCATTCGATCATAGAAAAAGCGAGGGAATTCCAGAAAATCTACTTTTGTTTCATTGACTATGCTAAAGCCTTTGACTGTGTGGATCACAACCAACTGGAAAACTCTTAAAGAGATGGGAATACCAGGCCACCTTACTTGTCTCCTGAGGAACCTGTTTGCAGGTCAAGAAGCCACAGTTAGAACCAGACATGGAGCAATGTGAAAGTGAAAAGTGAAGTCGCTCAGTCTTGTCCGACTCTCTGCGACCCCAGGGACTGTAGCCCCCCAGGCTCCTTGGTCCATGGGATTTTCCAGGCATGAATACTGGAGTGGGTTGCCATTTCCTTCTCCAGGGGATCTTCCCGACCCAGGGATCTAATCCAGGTCTCCCGCATTACAGGCAGACGCTTTACCATCTGAGCTACCAGGGAAGCCCAATGGACTGGTTCAAATTTGGGAAAGGAGTACATCAAGGCTGTATATTGTCACCCTGCTTATTTAACTTATATGCAGAGTATATCATGGGAAATGCTGGCCTGGATGAAGCACGAGCTGGAATCAAGATTGCCAGGAGAAATAGCAACAACCTCAGATATACAAATGATACCACTCTAATGGCAGAAAGTGAGGAGGAACTAAAGAGCCTCTTGATGAGGGTAAAAGAGGAGAGTGAAAAAGCTGGCTTAAAACTCAACTTGCAAAAATCTAAGATCATGACATCCAGTCCCATCACTTCGTGGCAAATCAGTCAGTTCAGTTGCTTAGTCATGTCCAACTCTTTGGCAACCAATGGACTGCAGCACACCAGGCTTCCCTGTCCATCACCAATTCCCAGAGCTTGTTCAAACTCATGTCCATCAAGTCGGTGATGCCATCCAACCATCTCATCATCTGTCGTTCCCTTCTCTTCCTGCCTTCAATCTTTCCCAGCATCAGGGTCTTTTCTAATGAGTCAGTTCTTTGTATCAGGTAGCCTGATAAAACTACTAGAAAAATAGATGGGGAAAAAGTGGAAATAGTGACAGATTTTATTTTCTTGGGCTCCAAGATCACTATACACGGTGACCACAGCCATGAAATTGAAAGACAGTTACTCCCTGGAAGAAAAGCTATGGCAAACCTAGACAGTGTATTAAAAAGCAGAGTGCTAATACCTTTGTATTAGCTGCAAAGGTCTGTCTAGACAAAGTTATGTTTTTTCTAGTAATCATGTATGGATGTGAGAGTTGGACCATACAGAAAGCTGAGTGCTGAAGAATTGATGCTTTTGAACTGTGGTGTTGGAGAAGACTCTTGAGAGTCCCTTGGACTGCATGCAAGGAGATCAAACCAGTCAATCCTAAAGGAAATCAGTCCTGAATATTCATTGGAAGGACTGATGCTGAACTGAAGCTTCAATAATTTGGCCACCTGATATGAACAGCCAGCTCACTGGAAAAGACCTTGACGCTGGGAAAGATTGAGGGCAGGAGGAGAACGGGGTGACAGAGGATGAGATGGTTGGATGGCATCACCAACTCAATGGATGTGGGTTTGAGGAAACTCCGGGAGATGGTGAAGGACTGGGAAGCCTGGTGTGCTGCAGTCCATGAGATCACAAAGGGTCAGCCATAACTTAGCGACTGAACAATAACAACCTAAAGACCTGTTTCACCAGTTTCCCTGGTGCATGAAGGGCCTCATTCTGCACCCTGAATTCCCTTCAGGGCAGATTGAAGGTCAACAGCTGCAGCAGCAAAGATTCAATCTCTGCAGAGGCAGATGATCAATGCCCTTGGCAAAGGCCAGTTTGTAGCTGACAGGCTCATGGTCCCCACTCCCACCCCCACTGACAATAATAAGTAACCATAGCAGCACTGGTGTCTGGGAACCCCGCTTGTAGGTAATGCCTAGAGTGGGAGCTGCATCCCTTTCCTGTGACTCAGACCCCCAAGCCATCCTGGGGGGTAGGTGGCATGAGGACTCTTGTCCTCCCCTTTTTATAGATGAGGAAACAAGTCTAGAGAGGGGGAAATCACTGGCCCAAGGTCACCATTAAGGAAGTAGCAGCTTGGCTCCAGAGATCTGGCTCTTAGCCTTGACTCTTCAGACTTGTGGCTTAATTTCATTGTCAGTAAACACAGTCATGATAATACATGTGATCCAGAAGGTGCTTACAGGGCTTCCCAGGTGGTTCAGTGGTAAATAATCTGCCTGCCAACGCAGGAGACATGGGTTTGATCCCCGGGTCAGGAAGATTCCTGAGGAAGATCTCCAGGAGAGGGAAATGAAAACCCACTACAGTATTCTTGCCTGGAGAATGCCATGGACAGAGGAGCCTAGCAGGCTAGAGTCCATGGGGTCGTAAGAGTCAGATACAACTTGGCGACTAAACCACCACCACAGTATTCTTGCCTGGGAAACCCCATGGACAGAGGAGGCTGTCAGGTTACAATCCATGGGATCGTGAAAGAGTTGGACATGACTTAGCTGACTAAACAACAACAAAGAAGGTGCTTACACCGTGCCTGGCACTGTTCTAAACAGTTGTCAAATGTATTTAACTTTTGCAACCTTATGGTTTCCCATTTTACAGATAAGGAAATTGAGAAATGAAGTCACTTGGTCATTATCACCCATCAAAGAAACAGACCCAGGATCTAATCCAGATATGGCCAGTTACAGAGCTGGTACTCTGAGCTGCAGTGTTTTTAAATTGAAAAGTAACACGTGTAGAAGGATGTACAGTCAAATATCATAAAAATGCAACACTTTTTCTCAATTTGTGTATTCTATAAATTTTCCATGTGTACTTTTTTTTTAAGAATGTCAGCATCTTTTACATGCTGTTCTGTACCTTGCTTTTTTTTTTTTGCCAGTTAACAACTTAGTCTTTTATTTGCCCAAGGTCAGCTATTACAAGCACTGAGGCCCCAAAACTTCCAGAAGGGATGGGGGTGGGGGGAGCCATCCTGCCTCCCAGGTGCTATCTGCCCTATCCTGCTTCCTGCAGGAGATGGGAGAGTAGATAAAGTGTACTCTGCACCATCAAGTATCTCCTCAATTTTGTGTGTCAGTCGCTCAGTCATGTCTGACTCTGCGACCCCATGGACTGTAGCCCACCAGGCTCCTCTGTCCAAGGATTCTCCAGGCAAGAGTACTGGAGTGGGTTGCCATTTCCTTCTTTAACCCCCCTTTCTCTTAGTATACTGTATCGCAAATTGTTTACACTTTAGTACATGAAAATTTACTCAATTTTGTTTATGGATGCTACATAGTATTTATTTAATGAGCTCCATGGATGAGTAGTTAGTGTATTTCAAGTTTCTGCCACCGTGGTCAAGGCTGCGGTGCCAAACACTGTCACTCTTTTTGCTTGTCTCTGAGACCTGCAGTTTTGGGTCATGAAGCGGGCAGTACCACTCTGTCATTCTTTTACCCCTTGTTTCTCCATTCCCCTATTACTGCCTGGCCCAGTCAGACTACTTCCCCACCTCCTTTGCCCCTAACTCCTTACTGAGCTACTTCTCTTTGGCCTGTCTATGCCCAGAATCATCAAATCACTTAAAGTTCGGTCCACCTGGCCTCTCTTCCAGATGATCAAGAGTCCCAGTTCTCAGAACCCTCCATTTTGCCTGCAAAATAACGTGTCTTTTCCTAGGGAGAGGATCCCTTGAGTTTCATTGGGTACTCAAAAAGATCCAAGGTGAGCCAAGGTTGAAGAGGTAGGGGAACAACGTTGGAGCATTAGCCGCATAAAGAAAGGCCTGAGCAGAAGGTGTTCCAAGGAGAGAGCACTGCGTTTGCAAGGGCATGGAGACGTGACTTAACAGGAATGAAAGTGGGAGCCACCGTGGCCTCGCTAGACTACCTCTCCGTAGGAACCACTAACCGCTTGACTTTCAAAGTATATTGGGACCTTCAAAATATGTTGGGACCCCGCGCAGGCAGCTGATTTGCAAGCTCGCGGCTGAGATGCATTCTGAGACTTGTAGTTTTCTTTAGAGCCCAGGAACACAAGTGACTATCAGCACTGAGTCCTACCACGAGGCGGCGCGCGTTGCCGCGTACTGTGGACCTATCCTCTGCTCCAGAAGACCCTACTTGACATACAGCATTCACAAGCAAGAACGGGAGGAGGTTCTTTGATGGACAGATACAGCTTTCAATCAGAGTCAAGATTTGGAAGTTAAATCCCACCCTCTTTGACTTGTGGGGTGAAGGAAAGGAGTGATATTTATATAAACCAATGGGAAATTTTTAGGGAACTAGATAGCGTCAAGTGAAGAACCGATCCCTAGTATCATTGGCCAGCCTTGTTGACTGGTGGGTCTGCCTGCCAATAAGACTGGCGGATGTTCCTTTTATCCGGGAACACCCCCTAGTAGGCGGGGCCAACATGCCTTTTCCCGAAACACCGCCTCCCGGCCGAGACAACTCTTTTGCCACTGCTATTGGCTCTTGCACAATAGCGACAGTTCTTGCGCCCAATGAATCAGAGAATAGGCCTCAGGGGGCGGGCTCATTCGGCCATCGGCCCGTGCCTCACTTTCATTGGCTTGTGTGCAGGAGTGACAGTCAAGCAGGCCAATCGAAGTTGGCGCGAGGGTTTTTGGCGCAGCCCCAGGGCTCCGGCGGGAGGTCGGTCGGGTCGGGTGTCGCTTGAGAACCGGATGAGGCGGCGACCGTGAGGCCGAGCCGGGAGCGGGCGTCGCGCCGAGGCCCGGGCGGGCGGGGAGCAACGGCCGCGGACGCCGCGGGGCCGTGTCGTTGAGGGACAGGGGCGGGCGAGGAGCGCGGGGCGCTCGGGCCGGGGCCACCGGCGCCATGGGCAACCGAGGGATGGAAGAGCTGATCCCGCTGGTCAACAAGCTGCAGGATGCCTTCAGTTCCATCGGCCAGAGCTGCCACCTGGACCTGCCGCAGATCGCCGTGGTGGGCGGCCAGAGCGCCGGCAAGAGCTCTGTGCTCGAGAACTTCGTGGGCCGGTGAGCGAGCTCGGTGGCGACGGCGGGCGGGCGGCGGCCTACGGCGCGGAGGGCAGACTGGGAATGGCGCGCCCTGCGCCGCCGGCGTAACTGCGGCGCTTGCGTGCCCGCGACCGGGACGGGGACAGGGGGGCGGGCCCTGTGGGACGCCCTGGGTGGAGGGCTCCCTGCAGGGGCTGGGGAGCTGGCCCAGACCTAAGGGGCGTCCCACGCGCTGGGGGGCGTGGGGCAGGAAGTGCAGTGCAAGACCTCTGACTCTCTGGCCCCCAGCTCTAGTGGGTGAATTCTACCATCTGGTTGTCTATCTGTCCTGAACCTGTCTCCTAGATATTTACTGGGCCGATCCCCGTGGTCTGGCCGGCTGTTCATTGATTTGGAGCAGTTCCTGTCATCTGGCTTGCTGTCTCTCTGTCCTAGATAGGCTTCTCTGCCACGACCATTTGGCTGTCCATCTGTCCAGAACCGCAGGGCAGCCCCCTGCTGCCTGGCTAGCTAGCCAGAAGGCTCTGTCCTGTCTGGTTGCCCATCCGTGCCCCTCAGAGACTTAGCTCTTCCTCTGTTGGGTTACCCAGCTGGCCTGTGCTGTCTGGCCGGCTGGCCGGACCCTCGGAGACCCTGTTGTCTGGCTCTCCTGGGCTGCCTCTTCAACTTGGTGCCTGGCGATCGCTGGCTCTTCACTTCCAAGTGGATCCTTTTGTCTTTATGTCCTGGTGTCAGTCCTTCTCGTCTCCTTGACCCCACCTCTGGACAGGGGATGAGAAGAGCTTGCAGAAGAGTAGGGTGCTGAAGGGTGAGACTTGAACTCCTCTTCTCTGAGTTGGAAGTAGGACCCTGGGGGGCAGACTTACTCCAGGAGTCTTTTCTTGGCCCATGTCAGGGTGCCTGCAGGGCCCTGGAACATAGGGACCAGCCCCCAAGCCAAAGCCTGCATGGTGGGGGTCCTCCTTGGATCCTGGGAAGGAACTTCTGGCCTGATCAGGCTGCAGTGTCAAGAGCTGGGATATAGCCTTCCCTGGGAAGCCCCGAGAAGTTTCAGTTTGCCCATCTGTCCAGTGGACAAATTCCACTCTGGGCTGTTTCCAGGATTCACAAAGCTGATGGAGGAGAATGGGCCCTCTGGCCACTGAGGTTGGTTACCTCTCCCCTCTCCTCCCCCCACCTCTTTTCCTTCTGCTTCCCAGATGGAGGGCCACTTCTCCATTCTGGGAAGGACTCCATTTGCGACTGTGGCTGCCAGATGATAACGTCATGGCGGTTGGTGGTTTACTTGTGAAGTCGTGTGTCTGACTCTTTGCGATCCCATGGACTGTAGTCCATCAGACCTCCTGGTCCATGGTATTTCCCAAGCAAGAATACTGAAGTGGGTTGCCATTTCCTCATCCAGGGGATCATCCCGACCCAGGGATCGAACACGTGTCTCCTGCATTGCTGGCAGATTCTTTACTGCTCAGCCACCAGGGAAGCCCTGATAACATCATAGTCATCATCATGTTCATGTTGTTATCAATGTTAAAGAGGTTCATCCAGCAGCTCCCAAGCTGACTTCTCTCTTGGTTCAGCTCAGAAAAGATTGCTGTTTGCCCAAGGCCACCAGGCTGGCGCTTAGTGAAGCCCAGCCCCGCCCTGCCTTCCCAGTGGCCTGGGGTTTTGCTCCCAGTGGCATGAATTTCCTCCTTTGCTGCTGTGTCTCTGGCGAAATGCCCTCTTTCTGCTGTGGCGGAAAGGTGTGGACTTGGGATCAGCCCAGCCTGGGTCCCCTGCTTGGCCATCTTCTTGCCTGCCCAGGCTCTGGTGGGTGTCTGCAAAGCTCTGTCCATTTCATCTACCTCATGACCTTGTACAGGTTGTTTGACCTCTCTGAGCCTCAGTTTCCCCTCCAGAAAAAGGGCTGATGGATCCTTAACAGTACTTGCAAGGATGCAGTGACAGTGTGTTAAAAGTGCTTACTTAGCATAGTGCCTGGCACCTAGTGGGTCTTCTTGGATGGGGCTTTTGCTCACTAGGCTGATTCCGTTCATGGGTGTTTATATGCTTAGTTGCTCAGTCATGTCAACTCTTTGTGAGTCTACGGACTGTAGCCCTCAGGTTTCTCTGTCAATGGGATTTTCCAGGCGAGAATACTGGGTTGCTATTTCCTTCTCCAGGGGATCTTCAACCCAGGGATCATACCCAGGTCTCCTGCCTTGCAGGCGGATTCTTTACTGGCTGAGCCACCGGGGAAGCCTCAGTTCCTTTCATATCAATAACCAAAGCTAGTCAGAATTAAAGTACTCTGAAGTTACACACTGGACTTCACTGAAGCCTCATGAGGCTGGCACTGCTACGATCCCATTTTCCAGAGCAGAAAACTGAGGCCCAAAGAGCTGAGCATTCTTGCAAGAGGTTGTTCAGTGAAGGATCAAGGTCTTTGGGTTGGGGAAACCCAGGGTCTCTCTCTGATCCCCACCTCTCCTTGATCCCTCTGTCCCTCATCATTCCCTCCCAGCCACCCTGGAACCTGGCGACTGCCAGCTGCTACCGAGCTGGCTCCTGTGGCAACCTCCTCCTGAGCCTGCAGCGTGGCATCGGTCATTACGGGCATTGACTCAGGGCTCGAGGACCAAAACTGTGAAAAGGCCTCTCTTTGGATAGGGGGTTCTCAAACGAAGCCAACTTCTTTTTACTTATGGGGCGTGGGTAAGGCTTCTCGGCTACAAAGCCCTGACACCGCGGGATGGCAAGCAGACCTCGCTTTAAATCCCCCTGCCTGCTTCTTTCTGTGACTGTGGCTGAACTGTGCTGCAGTCAGGGACCCCTTTCCTCCTGTGTACATTAGACCCACACGGAACATCTCCCGGCTGGTTTCAAGGGACAGACAGGAAAGCATGTCTTCAGGCTCTCTGTGCCTGGGGCCAGCGTGTCTGCTCTGTTTCCTTCCCTCCTCAGTGGATTTTTTAAGATTGAGGTCTGAGTGAGAACAGACCTGTTAGCTCAGCTTGGGAGACAAGCAGGAGAGGGAGGCAGAGGTCTAGTCCTCCAGCTCAGAGTCCTCCAGGCTTGGACTCGATCCTGTGAGTCTTTGCTTCTGAGCCTCAGTCTTCCCAGCTGGGAAATGGGGCTGTTAATAGTGTCTACTCATGGGCCCCATGCAGGCCACCAGGCTGGGTGTGCTTCACCTCTTAGGGTATTGAGGGCGGAGTGAGGATTTAAAATCTCTTGACAAAATTTGTTTTTCATTAATTTAAAATTTTATTTGTTTATTTTTGGTTGTCCTGGGTCTTCATTGCTGTGTGTGGACTTTCTCTAGTTGTGGCGAGCTGGGGCTGCTCTTCATTGTGGCGCATGGACTTCTTTTCGCGGTGGCTTCTCTTATTGCTGAGCACAGGCTCAGTAGTTGTGGCGTGGGCTCTGTTGCCCCCTCTATGCAACTGTGTAGAATCCTCCCAGACCAGGGATCGAACCTGTGTCCCCTGCATTGGCAGACAGATTCTCAACCACTGAACCACCAGGAAAGTCTGAATTTACAGTTTTAAATGGAGGGTCAGGGAAGGCCTACATGGGAAGGTGACATTTGAGCAGACACTTAAGGGGGTAAGGGAGGACTCACCAGCGTAATCTGCAGGAAGAGCATCCCGGCTGTGGGAACGACCGCTGCAGAGGCTCTGAGATGGGAGAGTGCTGAGCACAGTGGGAGAGGAGAGGAGATGAGTTTAGTGGGATACTGGTGGGGTGAGGTGCACACCACAGGGAGCCCTGGGGCCAGGGATTGCTCTGGGGAGAGGGAGTGCCGCCGGTCATGCTGCTCGGATACTCCTGGACCTGGTCTGGGACAAGCTGTGGGCCCTCACCTTTGATTTCCAGCAGTACCTTGACACTGTAGTGCCTGTAAGCACATCTGGACCTGGTGCCATTTTTCGTTTAACAAGGAGTAGCTGCCCACAGGTGCAGCCGTTTCCAGCTGCATTTCCATTCGGTCTTGGGTGATGGGTCCCTGCAGGGAGACATAACTGTACCAAGAGGCCATCCCCGGGCACACAGTGGGGGCCAGGTGAATGCATGTCGGATGAATGTTGGTTCACTTTCCTGCCAGACTGGGGGGTGGGTGCATGGTTTGCCCTTTGGTCTGGTTTGTCCCTTAACAGATCTTGGGGGTTCAGAGATGCTTGAAAATGACAGCTGCTGTTTCCAAGGCCTTTCCTGTTGGGCAAAGCCAAAGTGCTCTTGCCTGTGTGGTCTGTAGTACCCAGGCCATCCGGATCATGGAGAGTCCCAAGGCACCTGTGGGAAGGTGGCCGTCCATCAGCTGAATGACCTCGCTTCTTGGCCTCAGTTTCATTGTTTGCAAAATGGGGGTCGTGTGGTCCCTCTCTCCTGGGAGCAGGCTGAGATTTCAAACGAGCTAATCTTTGTGAAAATATTAGACTGGTGCCATTTTGTACAGTCCTGGGTCAGGACTTTTAAAGGTCAGTTGTTAATTTCTCTTTTCTGAAAGAAAAGGAATTTGTGGTTATGTTGTTAATACAAGTAATGCCTCTTTTTAGCACAGCCACTTATTAAGCCTCTATCAATGTAGTTTGAGCTGTGGGGATGAGTTAGAACCAGCTGGTGAACCAGGTCCTGAAATGCTAGTGGGAGCCCGTTCCTGCTGTTTCTAAGTGGGAATGGTGACTGTGAACAAGTACTTGGCCATGAGAGTTTCTTAACGTTGTTCAGTATGTGATGGTGGGAAGTCGGGAGCAGAAAGGCCCAACAGTAACCAGGTGACTCCTAGCCAATGTGTCCAGACACAACCCACTGCAAAACAGCTACTCAGAGCAATCTAGAAGATTTAATGACCCAGAAGAAAAGAGTGAGGGGAGAAGGGGGCGGCAGAGGATGAGATGGTTGGATGGCATCACCGACTCAATGGACGTAAATTTGAGGAAACTCCAGGAGATGGTGGAGGACAGGGAAACCTGGTAGGCTACAGTCCGTGGGGTCGCAAAGAGTTGGACATGACTCATACAACAACAGGAACAACA